TGCCCCAAGGCTTTGGCAAACCCGTCCCCATTCTTACAGGTCCTCAGTCCCGTTCCCCTCCCTCTCCCTCTCTCCCTCCCTCCCTCTCTGTCAGCTCAAGTTTTGCCTCTTTGCCTCTTTCCTCTTTCTGTCGCTACGTTTAATGTGCGTGCCACGTGCCACATGCCACGGCCACAGCCAGCATGTTGCATGTTGCGAGTGTTACACCCCCCCACATCTCTTCCCCCCCTCACACTCGCTCCACATTGTGCGTCAGCTTATTGACGTGCTGCCAATTTCGATTTCATCTGCAACTGTTTGTGGCATGTAGCCCGCACTTGCAACTCTTCATATTCATGCATTTATGCAGCTTGCCACATGCAGCATTTGGCTGCTGCTGCTGCTGCTGCTGCTCCTTGCCCCCAAAATGTTGCCGCATGCTTCGTTTGGTGTTTGATAATTTACAGCTTTGCTGATTACTGCCACATGCAACGCGGTTGCCGCCATCGCCTCCAGCCTGCAGCCAAATCATAATACCCCGCTAGCCTACCGCTCGTGCCCCCTTCTCATGGATTTTGCATTAATTTGCTTTAATTGCGCGTCCGCAAAAAGTTTTAACTGCCATTTCCGTTGCATTTGCACCGCATGTTAACATAACCATGACATTTAGCTCTTCCCCCTTCCCGTCACGCTTCCACCATTACCCCATCACCCCACTCCCGTTCTATTGCCCGTTGTGGTTACTTTCTCGATGTGTCCACCCGTTCGAAGTGCAGATGCTGCCTCTTCCTCTTGATGCTGTCATTTGCCATTTGCCGTTAGTTTTGCGCATTTCCGGTTTCTGCAAACCAACAACAACAACTAATCTTTGCGCGCATCACCGACCGAGCGGATGCCCTGTAAATTTGAATCTTATTATTTTATTTTCTTTGGCACTTGTCCTCATAAAATACTCTGCAATAAACGGTCCAACTATGCCTCAAGCTTTAAAAACTATAAAATTGATAAATAAATAATCTATTATCATATAAATACCGCTCTAGCGTTCATATTGAGCCAAGTTTGCTATAAGAAAGTAAACATTACTCGACACGCTTCAAATATATTCGAATTAAATAAGTATCTCCGGTAAATTTGAATAACTTATTGCGATATACGCATAAAATCGAAAATAACTCAAGAACATTTGTAAAGTAGTCGATCCATCGATATACCACATATTGATAAGCAAATTAAGAGCGATAAATGACACTAATCGATATGCTATGAAAAGATTCGATAAGTCAAATAAGTACCTCTGTTAAATTAGAATAAATTATTGCGATATCGATTGCATGCAACCAAGAATGTATATATTATTTGTTCAGTCTTAGTTGTCACAGTCTGCCTGTTAAACACACATTTGCACAACTGCAATATAGGGTATAACCGCAACCAACAGCAGCCAGTTCATGGTTTGAGTTGAATTGAATTGAGTCGAGTTCCGTACTGTGCTGTCCTTGCGGTAAGCGTCCATGGGCGTAGTCTACCTACAGACCCGTACGGACAGGGGCCTATACGATTTGTGGTTTTATTTAAGGTGACATAAATTAGCACATTGACAAACACTTGTGGGCCCAGGGCAATTGTGTTTTATGATAGTTCGACCTACTTGCTCGAATATCCTATTCAAGGTCTGCATTGTTTAGAGACTCCAGCCTTAATGTAATTCGATGAGCACATTTTGCTTTGTGGCAACGCTGGCATTAAACAAGTGTTGTGAAGTGCACGAAGCAGACGAAAGGCAACTGAGCGTTGACCCGCTTTGCCCGTAGGATCTGCCTCGGCTCGATTTCTAGATAAAGATAAAGTGTGTAAAGCTGTGTATATATATCTTTAGTTACCCTAATGCACAGTTAATCACATATCGGTAGCCAATTATTGTTAGCCAACACTAGCTTGGGAATTCTTCTTTAAGCTTTTCTATTGTATGCTAGCTCCTACAATTCCCTTTTACATGAAACCCCTTTCTCCACTTGCTGCTCTACGTCCCTGTCTGGCCACATTGTAGCCCTCTCATGACCGCCAATTGGAACCAAACACAATTCTTGTTGCATTTTTAATGCGCGGCACAAGTTGTTGTTGTTGTTATTGCTGTGGCCATTAGGAAATCGGACAATTTTCGATTTTAATTAGATTTTTTATATAAATTTCAGTTTCAGGGAGCACTTTGGAGCGGCCATATAAACGGGGCCAGCATTAAAGCTGTAAAGCTGTGGGGGCCAGTCAGCTAGTCAAGGTTGCCCGCAGTTCTTCCCCCCGCAGAATAACAAAAGCACATACGCTGCACTTTTCAGCTTGGCATGCCCCAAGTTGAAGCCCAAAGGCAACAGGAATATGGGCATACAGGCAACGGGCATGCGGCATGCGGCATGCGGCATGCGGCATGTAGCCTGTGTGTCTTCTGGTTGACATAGATGTATATCGGGGCAGCAGCAACAAGAACAAAAGGCATTAACACCATCAAACTTGGTAAACAGAGATACAGCACGTATCTAATAAAAGGCCACAACGTGCTGCCAACGCGGTCGCGAATCAACTCAGGGGCGCAACGGAACGGGGCGGGGCAGGAAGGGGCAGCTGCCATATGGGGAAGGGGGGGTGGGTAGGAGATTGGAGTGGTACTTGCGTCCAGAATGTATGTCTGTGCGTGTTTGGTTCTTTGACATTGGCTGAGATTTGCGGGGTTTCGTAGCCTGCCTCAGCGCCCGCATGCAACTCACACAGTCAGACAAACAGACAGACAGACAGACGGACGAACGGACGGACGGACGGACCGACGGAAAAACGGATAGACAGATAGACAACAAGTCGGTGTCTGTTGCTCCTTTCAACGCTTTTGCCAGTTGATATCCTGCTTAAGGATGCGCTCAAGTACTTTCAAGTCACTTGGCAGCTGCTTAAGTTAACTTTTGCCTGGCAAGGACAGGCTGCCGGGCAAGCGGGCGTGGGCGTGGGCGTGGGCGTGGTCGTGGGCGTGGGCTACGGGCTGGTAGCATATCATCAGCTTTGCAAACCCAGCCCCTCCCACTCCCCCGCAACTCGCAACCTGCCATGAATGTATCTCCGTGTTGACAGTGCGATGAAACGCAGAATGGAATCAACAACGTTTGCGTTTGGCCCCCTTCCCTCGGCCAGCTGCAACTTTGCTGCACTTGACTCGAAGTGTCCTTTTCCTTTGCTTCAAAAGCGACAAAAGTGTCACCGCAACTGTTGCGGTTGCAGCAACAACATTCAAGCCAGGCCAACGACAGGTGGAGGTTACGGCTTCGACCGGCTTTTGGCTGCTGTCAAAACAAATTCAAAATGCGTCTACACTCAGCGAAATTGCGTTTAGCCAAAAGAAATATATATTTAAATCTTTGGAGGATTGACAATTACAGGTATTTTCCTGCAAAGACTTATATTTTCTAACAACTTTTCCTTGGATTGCATCCAAAATGTCCAGTATAAAAAAAGTAACTATAAAGGGTAAAGGTTAGAGCTCAGACCTTTACAGCTCTTTCGATTTTGATTTAGACAAGGCTATTACTTTGGGTATCGCTGGACTTGAACATTTTGTAGGAATATATAGTATACTTATTGGGGTCTCATTTCTCGTCTCCTTTTCCTGGCAAGACCAGAATATTCTCGGCAAGTGCACACAGTGCACGCATGGTGCAATTTTCTGTGGCTTGCCAGGAAAGTTTTATTTTTTGACAGCTCAGAAGGTTTATTCAAGCAACTCGAATAAAGCTCAACAGTAAGACACAAATTAATTGAAATTAAACTTAAATATTCAATATAATAATAATCAAGATGAAAGACGCCAGCAATCGTAATTACTTAATTACTTAAAAGAAAAACAACAAACTTTTTGCCTTGTTTCTTGTGGTGCAACAATTTTGCTTTGGCGATATCAAGAATATATATATATGTATATAAACATAAAGCTGACATTGTTTTCAAGTTATTTTCGCATTGTTTGATTTCACTTTCAAATTTTGCTCTGCCTTGCTCAGACGATGGGGCAAACAAGGCGCCGCACACCTCGCTTTTGTCTCGGTTCACCTGCCCGCATCCTGGCATATCCGTATCCTTGCGCCCGTCCTGCATCCTTTCCGGCCGCCCTGTCCCCGTCTGCTGTCAGCGCCGTCGCCATTTCTATTTGAATTTCTTAAAACATCTTAGTGGAATTACTTTCAGTTTAAATTGCTTAAGTGGCCTCTAGTTGCTGTCTCTCTCCCTCTCCCACTCTATTTTTCTCCCTCTTTATCCCTCTCTCTCTCTCTCTCTCTCTCTCTTTTTCTCTCCCTCTCTCTCTTTCTATAATGCCTGCTGATTTGATTAGCTAGTCGCTAAAAATAAATGATTCGAGTGCATTCACTTAATTCCTCATTCACAAATATATTTGCAAATGTTTTGTGTATTATTTGCTTTTTTTAAATTTAATCCTATTAAACAATGTATTTTGTTAACCCAAAAAAATGTCTAAAATGTTAATTCTTTATAAACAGCCGCTGAAACCGAATCGAATCACTTTTCCTAATGTTTGCTTGTTGCACTTCCACTACGTTTCTCCTTGCTGCGCCACACTATTTGTTTTTTTTTCCATAAGAAATCGACTTACAACACTAGGTTAGAAGCATTTGGGAATTTTAACAAGCGGCGCTTCATTTTAGCCTGTATTTACGTAGCTAAAAGCTAATTGCCGAATACTGAATCCTTTTCTAGATTTCTAATGCAAATCTTATATTTGCCTCATAATACTCAGCTATCGTATAGATTGGAAAATTTATATTGTTCTTGGAATATATATGTATATATGAGAAATGTCAAGTTGATTTTCATGGCTAAGTTATAAAAAGCTTAAAGTTAGATTCCCAGCTCTGACTGTTTGTCAACAAGATACTAGACTCGGATTAGGAAATGGCTTACCATATTTTAATTTTTTTCTTTCAATTTCTGATATATTTTAACGCAACATAGTTTGCCTTTCCAAAAGCGTCAGCTTCTTGCTGCCATGAGCAGCTATGTCAAAATCTCACTTCAATCTGTGCGAAGCTCGAAAGCACATTTGGAGAACGGAAAATGTGGAACAATATTCAAGTTTTAAGGTTTTTTATTTGGAGCATAAGTTCCTCGAAATTGCAATGTCAGGACGTTGAAAAAATGCGCAGAAATGAGCCTGTGAAAGTACAATATTCATATTCCGGCCCCTGTTGCAGCTCAGTCAAAGCAAGCCGAGAAGCACAATCTAGCTGAACCACAGGTAGGCGGGATTGCAGGTGCCACTAACAATTCACCAAGCCTGGCCTCTTCCCCAGGTGTGTGTCCTTGGGTTGAGACTCAAATAAAGCTCACTTTGAGCCTGTTTCTGTTTTATACCCCTAAAGGGTATTCCATTTTCTTTACTTTTGTTTCCAGTTTGTTGCTCATCAAGAAATTTGGTTCGTCCTGTTGCATTAGACGGATCGGAGACCCGGCTTTAACAATATAAACTATGTGAGCCAAATCTTATCAAGATCGGAGTATTATAATATAAAAAACAAATCGAATGGAAGATGGGCTATCGTCAAGCGAGATATTGTCATTTGTCCTGATAAGGAAGCATCTGCGAGTTTATTCATTTTAGCCTGTATTTATGTATCTAAAAGCTATTTGCCGAATACTGAATCCTTTTCTAGATCTAACATTAATGCCTACTTTGAAAATAAGTATATGAAATTCTCAACCAACAATTGACCAACTGAGTCGATCTTGGCATAACACCGAGTGAAGTGACGATCACCTGCCTCATTTAGCATATGGAAAAAGGGCAGCCGATATCTGAAATACCACGTAATATTGAAAATAATTTTTAGACATTCGTTTTGTTCCCGACAAAATGTAAACAAAGCTTTCTCAAGACCGAGAGAAGCACAGCGGCTGTTCTTGATTGAAGCTAGGGTATCTGCTAGTCGGGCGTGCTCGACTAGCGCACTTTTTGTTTTCGACTGGGCTAATACTCATATATATTCCATTAGGTCTTCTTCTTATTGGTTCTTCTCGTTCTTTTTCTTTTTTCTTCTTCTTCTTTTCTCTCTTTTTCCTTCTCAATTTTCTTCCACTTTTCCTTTTTTTTTGGGGTTTTATTTCTTGTGATAGCTGCCACCCGCTTTTGCGTGCCGAGAAATACGCGGAATTCAAAGGAGGCCCTGCTGCTGCTGCTTCTTCTTTATCTTCTTCTTCTCCGTCCAAAGACACGGCCGGAAATAGTTGAAATTTGTATCGGCGCTTGTTTTGTGGCTGCGTTGCTGTGCGGAAAAGAAGGTGAAGGGTCTGACAAACGAAATTGAAAACTGCAATTGACACTGAAACTGGATATGAATATGTAAGTGAAGCGGGTCGCGGTGCTGCGGGCCGGGGGCGCTGGCGGTCGCGTAGCTGTTGCAGGCTATGTTTATCACCTGCCACCTGCCACTTGCCACTTGCCACTTGGCAACCGGCGCCGAAGTTGCAAACGAACTTGCCACACGAGGCGGCACGAGCCGCTATGGGCCAATTGGGCAGCCCGATGCGCTGGCAACATTTGTTGCCAGCAGCTTGGCAACATTTGTTGCCTGCGCGCTGTCGCCCAATGCCATTGCCAATGATTGGCCATTAGCAATTATTAACGCAATTATTATTGCATCGTGTTCTGGCTGCCTTCAGCCTCGTCTCCATTCGAAACTAACGAGCCAAAATTAGGTAAACGAATTATGAGACTATGGCCCAGTTCGTAGCGCCTCGCCTTTGTTGCACTTTCCCCAGCTCCATTATCATCATCATCATCATCATCGTGTCATTATTGTCATCATTTTTATCATCAGCCCCATTTGCATTATGTAAATCATGTTCGCTTTGTCCCTATTCGCCGCTCCGCTTGTGGCTTAATTTCAGTTTCTTATTGCAGTTAATTAAGTGCAACTTGAGCTTTTTACCAACCAGTACCGTCCCTCCCTCTTCCCATCCCCTCTCCCCCAATCCCTCTCGTGCCATGTTGCAAGCTGCTTAATTTATGCACGAAGCGATTCCGTCTCCATTGCTGATGATGTGCATGTCAAAGCGCTGACAATCAGATGACAATTCCAGCCATGATAATTCCAGCTAATTGCCTCAAATTCTGCCGTCAATCAACTTTGGTGTAGGGCCTGACGCCATAACAGTCTCTCCTGATATCGAACAGCTGAATGGGACTGCGAAATGCTTTGTTAACTCGGGAATGTGCGACTGAAGAAAGACAAATGAATGATTGAAGAAGAATGACTGATGAAATGCTATGTATAAGGTAATTAGAAGAATTTCTTATGAATGCCTGACAGATGAATTAGATGCACTGTAAGTCTGATGCAAATCTGAAAAATGTCTGATGAATGCCTAACGTAGCCATGGCGGATGCCTAGTGACAATATAAAGCTGAAGTATGTCGATGAATGCCTTATAAAAGCTTGATGTACGCATGATGTACGCTTGATGCAAGTCAGCAGATGCCTGTTGTATGCTTAATGTGAGAACGATGGATGGAACCCGATAGATGCCTGATGCAAGTCTGGATGCCTGTTAGATATGTGATGTATGTATGAATGACGGGACGCGTATCCTGACGAATTTATGTTTACCTCATCGATACGGGAATAGATGTGTGCTTGATGTATAACAAATAGATGAGGCTTGGATAGATGATGAATAGGTAGATCTCTTGTATTTATTGACAGGTAATAAGATTGTATTGATGATGTATGGCTGATGCCTGAAAGGTTCCAGTTAAATGTCGAGTGTTCAAACGGTTGCTCCATCAATGCTTTATTTAAAATATGAATTTGATATATGCCCGATTTATGCTTGCTGGAAGAGCTGACGCATGTTTGCCGTGCTTCAATCAGTTCATAATTGCGACTTATTGAGTTTGCATACTGTATTGAAAAAACTGGACTGGACTGGATTGGACTGGACATTGGCTTTATGGAAAACTTTTAATAAATGATAAAAACGATTTATTTGCTTGTTTAACTGCAGCTCGCATGTGGATTTACATGCACTGCAAAAATGGGTACGAGGCCATGGACCCATCTACCTTTTTCGCATGGCATACTCGCAAAATGAAAGTGCGCCCCTTCCCCCCCTGTGGATTGAATTGGTTAGCGGACCAATGGTCACCTCTCGTCAAGGCCATAAAGTATGCAGCACAACGAAGCGTCGGCGGCGGCGATGGCGCGACGTTCATTGAATCCGAAAACCCGTATTGGAATGGACATGCCTGCGCAAGGGTAATCGAAATCGAAATCCGAATCCGCAACGTATTCCACGTATAATCATCATAATGGCAAATTATATATATAATAATAAAATATTTCGTGTTCAAACTAACAAGCTTACGGAGAGGTGGGTGTGCTTGTGGGTTGTCTCGACTGTGTGTGTGTGTGTGTGTGTGTGTGTGTGTGTATTGAATAACATATGCGTACGTGTTAGTGCCAGTCCACAGACATTAGCCAGTGCTTGCATAGGTTTTTGTATGCCTGCTTGTGCGCCAGGCTGTGGCTTGAACTTAAAGCTGGACGCGCCGCGTTTACTTGGAAGCTGAAGCCAGCTCCTTGCCGTGGCCCCCAGTTAAAGCCCAAATCAATCGACTGCGTGACTGTGACTGTGCCTGCGACTGAGACTGTGAATGGGACCGCCGACCGACCTTTGTGCCTGGTGCCAACTCCTTTTGCTTTTGTGTGCTGCATGCAAAATTAGTCTGCGAGACTCGGCGGCAAATCAAATGTTTGCCAAACGACCCGCTGCCGCCATTTGCTAGGTATCCGTATGCGTTTGCCGCGTGCATGTTCACAACGATATCCTGGCGAGCACTCGGCCAAAGTAAGGCTAAAAGCCTGCTGCTGCTGCTTCAAGTCTATTTGCAACTTTCGGCCCGGCGACCGCAGCTGAGCGGCAACTTTGCCGGGGCAAAGTGTTCCGTTTCCTTTGTGCGGCAGCTGCGCCACGCCTTCGAGCATATATCTTGTGAGAAGCTGGGCGGGTGCGGGGCGGGGCTGGATGTTAACTCTTTAAGTGGCGCCATGTCGCGGCGTCTGTGGCACTGCGGCTAGGTTCAAAGTTCAAAGCGAACATTTTCGATTTTGCCATTAATTAACGTTAGTAAATTAGCAGCAGGAGCTGCAACTGCCACAGCAGCCGCCTTTCAGCTCCTCGAGTCGTACTCTCAGCTCCGACTAACTGGGTGTCGAGTTCATTGATTCGCAATCAACGCCGAGCCGCATTTGATTTATTCGCCAGGCGTTATGGGGTTAAGAAATTGTTAAACTAACGTAGCCAGTGCCAAACGCAATTAAATAAACAACATTCGCAAGGGTCCGAAATTTAATTAAGTGGCTCGCAACCTCATTGAAATGAAGGCAGAGCCACATCAGGTGGTGTTGAAGATTCCCAAGTCTATGGATTACCCAAGGCTATTATTGCAAATAAGTTCGAAGTTGTCTTCAGATACTTTCCAACACTGCCCGAGGGAAAACTCCCTCGAATAAGAGAAGGTCCAAGCGCGGTAGCTTTGAATTTCATCCTTAGTATCTTCTCTGCTTACTTTTAAGCGAGCACATATTTTAACGTGTTTTCGAACACTGTTTTTATACACTAACACTACAATCTATTCGAAATCTCCCTTAACTTTGATGTCCTTCGATGAGCTCTTTATTTGCTTTTTAAACCTATTCGCAATCTTTTTATCTCTTTCTCCCTATTTTCTCCCAATCCCAATCCACTTCCCCACAAATATTTTTGTTTATTATTTATTATCTCGATTATTTTGATACTCTTGTTGAGACTAAATTTAAACATTCTTCTTTTCAAATATCTCTATATATTGTCCTGACTTCTTCCGCTCGCTCTCTTTATCGCTGCGCTATACAAACTCAACAAATACCTATTTAAATCTTCCTCAATATCGTTACTCTAAATCGGTAATCGGTTATCGAATAGCTTGAGAATAATCGGCAAATCACTTAAGCGAGCCCATGCTTACGACCAACCGGCGCAACTGAAGCTAAATTGCAAAATGTTGAGTGAAAAATGTTGAGCAATATTTTATTGGAGCTGTTTATGCGAAAACTCATCAGGAAAATGTGCGAACTACACCGAATCGCAGATAACAACAGCTGTCGTCGTCCTCGTGGTTGTTCTAGCCCTTGTTGCTGATGACAATCGGCTGTGGAGAGCGGCAGCGACAATGACAAACTGATATTAAAGACGCATCAGAATTTATCAAAATCGAAAAATCGGAAAAAAAAAAAAAAAAAAATACCCGCACTAATAGAAAAAGTTGTGGGCCACAGAAGCAGCCGTTGATGGTTGCCCAAAATTCCCTTCAAGCCGGGCAAAAGGCCTCAGGCATGCAACTTGTACACATTACTCAGAAGGTGCACACAAAAGAGTGTATTCAATTCGTTCTAACCCATCGAGTCGTACGCACTTCACTCACTAAATGTGAGAGCTACAAAAGACGAGAAGGAACCGGTACATCTTGGAATTGAATAAAGGCAATATGAATAGATGTTCTATGGGAACTGGCATCTCATTCGAATATATTTATACCCTGAGTACTTTCAAAAGAAGGTCTAATGGTTTTCTAGATATGTAAAGGGGGTAAAGAAGCTTCACCGAACCGCAAAGCCCAAGCACTCTGAAAAGCGGAACTGACTTTTTTCCTTCGATCTATTTTGATTAGCTGGTATCTCCTAGTCGAGCACACCCGACTGGCGCACCCTTGGTTATTTATTAAATGGATGATAGAGCAAGTTAGTTAGAGAATAGGATATTTAAAAATGCTGGCTTGTCAGCCAAAGTAATTGTCTGGCTTTAAGTTGTTGCCGCTGTTGTTCCTGTTGTTCCTGTTGCTGTTGTTGTTGTTCCTGTTGCATGTGGCAAGTGGCATGTGGCATGCTGCTGCTGGCCATAAAAATGATTTAAATGCCGGCGCATTGTTGCATTATGTCGCCAACTACTCGCTGTCTGTCTGAGTGTGCGAGTGAGTGAGTGAATGAATGAATGAATGAGTAAATGAATGAATGACTGACTGAGTGACAAGCTCTGTCTGCCCGTGCCATGCATCAACTTGATGGCCGTCTGGTGGCTCTGTTCGCAACTTCGTTATGACCGTTGGCAGCGTCTTTATTTACCAGCCAACTCCAACTCTGACTCCGACTCCGACTCCAACTCCAACTCTAATTCCGACTCCAACTCCGACTCCGAGTTGGCATCAATTCCAACTGCATCTGCATCTCCGCATCTCTGCCTTTGCATACTTAATGCATTTTCATTTTCATTTTATTTCATTGCTTTAGTTTTGGACTCAACTTGTGCTTTGTTTCCGACCAGCACTTGCTGCTGCCTTCTCTGCTACTACCAACAATCTACCTCCCCTCTTCATCAGCTCCGCCCACCCCCACACCCCTTTTAGCCATATTCTCTAACTATTTGCTTTTTGGCTTGTCTTGTGTTTACTTACTTTCATTTGTTTACTTGTGTTTCATTCGGTTAAGTGTTTCCTTGATTGTTTCGCCCGCGCCTTTAGACGAGCCGCTTCTCGCTTTAACTTCTTCATTTTCCAGCACCATCTCCATCTCCATTTCCACTTCCACTTCCATTTCCATCTCAATTTCCATTTGCACAGTGCTGTCAGTTATTATCTGCTAAGCAGAGTTATCCGCAGTCCGCAGTCCGTTTCGCCAGTTGTTAACAACAATGTTGGGGATTACATGTGCCAACTCGGATGCCAATTGCCACACACACACACACAGAGAGAGAGAGAGAGAGAGAGAGAGAGAGAGAGAGAGGAGAGAGAGAGAGAGAGAGAGAGAGAGAGAGAGAGAGAGAGAGAGAGAGAGTCTCAGTCTAACCCTAGTCAATTTGCATAGCTCATGCTGTGGCACTTTGTTGTTATCGCCCATCCATTGGCCATAAATATTCATCCCGTATGCATACATTATTTTAATGAATTATTGATTTCGTTCAATTAAATAAATAGCATTAACGGCAAAGCCCACCGACCTTTGGATGCTCTACATAAAATATACAAGCTTTCGACTCTTTGGAACTAAGATTTGGAATTTAATCACTTGTGTGTCGAGTCGATGGTCTTAGAAACTAGCATTCCCTTCCTTTAATAATTATTATTATATAATATATAAAAATAAAATAATATATTATATAATATTACAAATACAACACTATTATAGCACAATATTTCAGATATTTATTCGGGAAATTGAAAGTCTTCCAACAGTTATCTGGTAAGAGATTGTATTTAGTTAAGAGACACTCTCTACAGATGAACTTTATAAATCAATCATTGTTCCTAGGCTTTGTGTGAAATCTAGCACTGAGAATACGAGCTTAGCTTTATGTCGGAGCTTTTCTCTACTCCGCCTCTCGGCTTCTATTTACATATAATTTATAATGTTTATTGGGCATTGAATAGATTTTGGCATATGAGGTAGCTCGGCTTTGCTTTCAATTTTACCGCCTGCTTTGTGTTTTGGCCTTTAATGTTTTCTGTGGTTTTTGTCGCCTCAAATAGCACTTTGTGTGTGCGTGTGTGTGTGCCTGTGTGTGTGTTGTGTCCTTTGCAGAAAGCATTTATGGCAATAAAGGCGCATCTATTCAATTATATCGATGCCAACATTCCCCCTTACCCTCCCCCACCCCCACCCCGCTCATCGACCCTTTCAATTGCTTTTAGGCCAACATTTTTTCTAATGGGCAGGTGCTGTCTCATCAACTCCTTCATTTACGTTATATTTATATGTGTATCTACTTATGTACATGTATATAGAGCACTCATGCGTGGGCTGTGTGTCATTTTAATGGATGACAAGAGTTTTTCTTGTTGTACCCCCTCCCACCCCACCAACTCACTAACCCCTGCCAGCTAGCATGCGCACACACTGTGTCTGTCTCCTTTGAGCGC